ATCATTTGATAATTCATGTTTTCACAATTTACGATGATGAAATAAATGATCGTCTTCGTGAATGGCAGTGGAAAGAGAAAGACGAACCGGATGTGGCGCATTCCACAGGGAGATGGCTTCCTGTAGGACACCGTAGGCAGAAGCATGAATGGGGGGGGAGGAGATTGAAAGCAAGGCTGAGGATCAGGATGTTGGAGGTGGGTGAAGGAACAATGATCTGTGTGGGTATGAAGATGAGGGCAGAGGATGGAGTAGGATGGTAAAGATGACGACCAACGAGCTGCCGTTAAAAACACAGCACCAAAAAGATGATGTCGGTGACGATGATATGATAACGATTTTTATAATTGATGAGGAAGGTGACATCAGTGATGGGGCTAAGTAAATCCCCACCTGAATTCGCACTCGTCTATTCTAAATTTGCTAAACTGAGCACAGAGTCTGTCCTGTAAACACGCATGCAGGAGTCTAGACACGCTTGCTCTGATTTAGGTGACTCTTGGACGCTCCTTGCACATGAAATCCAGACACTGGGAGTGCTGCGCTGTGCAATGACGTTAAGCGGTAGCACAGAACGAGATTGTTTATTTCGACTGCAGGGGGAATCCGATGAGCTATGAAGCTCTTTTTTCCACAGACGTCCAGTAGGTTTTCGGGTCGTCAAACACACATCGAGCGTGCACCCTGGCAATGCTTGTCCGAGACGGGAAAGGACAAAGCAATGCAAAGTAAAATTTCAAACAAGTGTATGTGTGTGGCCCTGTGTGTTTGTGTGGCCGTGTGTGTGCTGTGTGTCTGGGGAGCGTTAGTATAGCGGTTACCGAGGTACGAACCTTAAGATCCGAGTTTGATTCCCGCTCACGGCCAACACCAGTGACGATTATCTGAACCGGTCCCGGGCCTCCCCTAGGTCGACTCAGCCTCAAATGAGTACCTGGTGCGGTGTGTAAACATTGCCACTAGGAGACAAAGGCGGTCGGACGTGGTGCTGGCCACCCACCCCCTCGTGTACCGTTACCGGCCTTCATAGGTGCTCGCTAACAGCACTTGCCCCTACAGTCTGTTAAGGCTACATGGGGGATATTTGTCTTTGTGCAATATCACCACCTCGCCCTTCATGCTACGTGTGTTACCGCTGATAAGAAAATTCATATCTTGCGCCTCCGGTGTCATCAGTTTCCCATTGGTGCTTGGAAGGAGCCTTTATCCACTGCTGGATGAAGGACCTCCCCCCTTGGTGGCCGAAATGCGTCTCGCTCGGATATTAAATCCGAGCGCACCGATCCCCCGGTTCAATCGCGGGGCTTGTGGCCGAGAAGAAGAAGAAGAAAGGAGGAGGAGACTGAAACAAACCGCACGGCTTTGTAAGCAAAGCCATGAATAACAATGGTCTGCCCACTGGCGTGCAGGTGTGTATCGAGATGAAAACGCTTATTATGCACGCTTGATTACGCGCGAAATGTCACAACACTCGCGCCATTAACACGAAACGAACATAATAACCAACCTTATTAAGATAACTATTAGGCCAGTGTGTGTTCGTGTTAATGATGGCCCGCGGATTAATTATGAGCATTGGGCCAAAACGCTCATTAAAAACATGAAGCATAATGTAATGCCCCCCACTCACGACCGCCCCCCCCCCGGTCTTTTGTATCTCCCATCTGGTTTCGAATTCCCGTGATCCCCGTCAATTGCGTGTGGATTCAACTTCATTCCCGCCACACGAAGGCACACCCAGACAGGCCAGGCAAGCTAGACAGGCAGGCCATGCACGTCAACCCAGCTGGAGCCAAAATTTGTCTCATTTACCAATTGACTTGGAAAGGGAACAAAAAAATCTAGATTTATTTTAAGGCTGCTGCTGATGCCCGTTTCCCGGCTTCGAGATATCACGCGGCTCACGGTTAAATAAATGGCTCTGCCATTAAAAATAATTCCGAGGCCCCCCTCCGAAAAAAATAAAATATGCAAAGTTTCTCGTGTGAAAGCGCTTTGACGATATGAAACTTAATGGACGCACCTTGAACTAATACGGGGCGGGCGGGGGGGGCAGTAATGAAAATAAGTTGCACGGGTAAGCTGAAACCCCCCCCCCCCCCCCAGTGTCACCCGAACAATGCTGAGCTTAATTTGAAATCAAATTTAAGTGCTGTCTCAAGCATTTACGCAAGGAAGCAAATTACCTGCACCGTTTGAACTTTTGGTATTCGCCCCCACGCTTTATAGCACAACGACTATCGCAACGGCACGAATATTTATGCCAGAAGATGGGAAAGGTGGTCAGAATGAAAAACAACCTTGCATTCTTGCCCCAAAAAGATTCTCAGCCCCTGAAACACGTTTTATGCATGAAGAGTGAGACAATTAACGAACGGAATAAAGACCGGCCGGTGATTTTCCTCCTCTCATAATTCCGACCACAGGTGCGCGCATGCGAGTAACAACACACGCCCACCTTCCGAGCCAATTCTAAATAGATCACGTTCATTGAGCGATCCCACTCCTGAGCGCACAAAAGCCACGACAACTGCTGTAATGATAAGCCCATCGCTTTTGTAAACGTCAATGAAACCAACAGCCGCCACCCCCCCCCCCCCCCCCCCTGCACGTAAAGATTTGGTCTTAACACCTCTTAACACCTCGAGAGGCAAGTGTACAGAACTTGCATTCCCAACAATTGCATTGACAATTTTAAGCGACTTAAATAAACAGCAAAGCGCCACGTGTAAGAAATTCATTGATCAACGGGAGAGTAGTTTATTTTTTTTTCTTTATGAAAACGGTGCCGCAGAAGCTGTTTTACCTTTCTTCTCGGCTACATCGCTGACAATCCTGAGGCTGTGCCGTGCCAGGTGATATTCGGCGATGGCAACTTGCACTGAGGGGCTTCTGTGTGCAGAACTTTACAACGGATGCGTGGTGGCGGCTTTTAATGACACATCTTATATTTAGACTCTCTAACCCATTAGAAACCACCTTTATATTGGATAATATTGGTCGCAAAAGCCTACGTGTTGAACAGATCTGATATTGAAGAAGCACATCATTTCCATGACGATCGCCGACAAATGCCAGGGAACTAGACAGTGCGTTGCTGTTCGGATGTGTGGGATTCTGCTTAGATGTGTGTCGTCAAACCGTGACAACACATCTTAATGTATTTTACAATTTCGGTCTTTTATTGGGTGTTTTTTTTTTACCGGGCATATCACGATGCAAGCTGGGTTTGAGTGGCTGCTATGGTGACGGCAGCTATGTTCGCATTCGGCATTGTTGGGTGCAAGAGGGTGGGAACTTTTTGTTAGGTGGGTGGCAGAGAGGCCTGAATTTTTACGCGCGTGTGCACGTGTGTGTGTGTGTTTAGTGGAGAGCGATAGTGTAGCGGTTGGTGCGCTGCGATGATAACTCGGCCACCCGAGTTCGATTCCCGCTCGTGGTCAACATCAGCGACGGATATCTGGGCCGGTAGCGGGCCTCCCTGAGGTCAACTCGTCCTTCAATGAGTACTTGGCGTGCGGTTCGTGGACATCAGCACCGGGGAGACAAAGGCGGCCAGGCATGGTGCTGGTCGCACCAAGTGCCTCGTGTGCCCTGCCAGGCTTTCCTAGGCACTCGCTAACAGCACTTGCCCCAAACAGCCTGAAATGGCTGAAGGGAGGATTAATGGCAGTTGGTCACAGTGAAGGTGTTGGGGTGACAGGGCGTGTTGCGGCATTGAGTACAAGCACGGAAGGGTAATTCTGCGAGTTGGAGCTGATAACAGTTATCGTGACATTGTTATCAAGGAGGATGTCACCCTCTCCAGATATTTATACAAACGCGTCCACCCACCAGCGTGCGACAAGGACTGCCATCATCCTACACACCAACGCACGCTGGAAATGAATACACCGGCAGGCTCGCGCGTATAATATAGGCAAGAAAAACACGGAGATCCTTGGTCTAACCTCATAGACTACTGGGACAATTGCTGTCATTGAGCACCAGTGACAGGCAGGATCACACGCAGGGGAGCAGTGTAATCTACAAAACATCCGCCCGACTGCATTTTCCTGAAATTGGCTCGGCATTTATTTTTGGCCGAGTCTTTTCTAGAAAAGGGGCCCTGTCCAGGTTCAAACATCCACGTGCCCACCGGTATGCATCGTGGCCAGGAATCGTCACGTGGGTGGCCATGGTGAAGGAATACACACGCATGCCCGGTATGCCGTGCGATGGGAATTGTTCTTTCGTTTTTTGTATTTTGTTTTCTCGCACTTTTCCCCCCCCACGTCCCACACACAATTTTATTCCAAGCGCACTGTCGATGTCAGGTTCTAAGACGAAGTGTCCACTCGCGAGTGTCCTGCAAGGGCAGTCCATCTCGTGTTCGAGGAGGATGGCTCGCGGAAGGAGACGTCACAAACCTACCTCCCGAGATTCCTGTCAAGCAATCTCACATCTACGCTCGTGCCTTGCTCTTAAACAAAATAAACCTCGTGGAATAACCAGTGAGGGTTATAAGTGGATCACGGGGTCAGAGCTCCGAGCCAGCACCGCCGCTGGGATCTTAAATCTCAGTGCCCCGCTGTGAATAAAGTGGATTTTTTTTTAAAGTCAAGTGAGTTGATGGCGGTCTCAGTCCGGCCAGCAACGACTGCTCAGAAAGGGAAAAAAAACCCATCGCATTAATTTGGATAGCTCTGGGGGGGGGAAATATACATTTTGGATTGCGGTGAAACAAACGACTCCACGCGTGTGCGAGGTCACTCGGAGGAATCTCGCAAGTAGTTCTGTGATATCTTCTTGCACAGGTTGTGCCCTCACAGGATGGGATGACGCACCGCACCGCGAGGGATTCCAAATGCAAACTTCATCCTCGTGACGACTGGTCGCGACAATCGACATCAAAATGTCAAAAAGGACAAAACCGAGTTACTCGCTCAACCTGTGTTCTCTCTCCCTCACCTTCCTCCCCCTCCTTCCCCCTTGCTCCCTTCCCGGCGCCGTCGACCCAGGGGCGATCTTCGAGGAGTCGGCGCTCAAGGACCAGGAGGCGTTCAGCCTGGCCGTGGCCGACATCAACGCCAACGAGGAGATCCTGCAGAGCGAGCAGATCACCTACTCGATCCGCACCGTGGAGGGAGACAACCCCTTCCAGGCCCTGCAGGAAGGTACGCACGCGGCCTTCCAGTCGGGGCCTACGGGCTGTGGGGGGCTGAGTGACGCGGTGGTGGGCGGTGGCGGGGAAATGAAGGGGGGGGGGGGTATTCAGATCTTGAGTAGGAAAATAATTATCAGCTTCTGTGTCGACGGGATGGGACATGAGACGGCTTGGTTTAACTCGCGTGGTATCAGCTGTAGCCGAGGGGATAGGTCGCGAAGCGTGCCGTGTGTACGTGCGTCGAACTTTTTTCGCACCGTACGCAGCCAACCGGGCTAATGGGAGGTGCAGTTGGGTTGAACACGTGAAAGGCGGTGTGTCCGAAACCCCCCACGTCTCGCACTCGCAATAACCGAGGCGATGGGAGTTGCGCGTTCATAAATGTACTTAATGACTTCCCCCGATCGCTTGGCGGGGTTTTTTATTGTACCCCGACCCCCTGGGCGACGCGTCTCCGCACCGCGCGACGCTCTGTGCTTTACTGCCCCACGATGTGTTACGCACGCGACGTGCAATACGGCGTGCGCTTCGTCCTGTTCAAATGACGCGCACGACGTTGCGTCCTGCTAGCACGAGAGAGCTGGTCGAGTTTTGTTCCACCGAATGTAATCGCACGTTTATACGTGCACAGCCCCGACATAAAGCAACACGGTGCTTTCATTACACTGGGCGGGGGGGGGGTGGGGGGGGAGGCCAAGTACCAAAATCTGATACAAGCACACTGCTTGGGATATAAGCAAAGCTGGGCTTGCTCCCGCAAGGGTGAGGCTTATATTCGGCATCTCATCTTCGTCATTCCAAAAAGTATCGACACTTCACTTGCTCTTCGGTTTTCGCTTGTTAGGTATAACAGAGGTTGAATTAATTCAACCTTGTACTGTTTTTATTTTCACCCCCCAGACCCCTCCTCACGGGGTCTACAAGTTGATACTGTTTGGTGGTCAGGAAATTAGGTCACTGTAGGTAGGATTTGAGTCCCTGTGGGTGCCCCACTGGGTTTTTTGTGTGTCCCGGTTTTTCCTGCACGAATAAGAGGCGTGTCATCTTACACCGCTGGAGGGGGCTGACACATTTATAATTTGCGGCAAATCTGATAAAAAAAACCCCATCTATTTTCTCAACCTTTAGCGTAATTAACTTCACTAACGCGTGGTAATTATCTTCCATTTTATACAGAATGGTTTCCATAATAATTCGATAATAGAATAATCTGTGTGCCTCTGTTTCTGAAATATTTTTTTTAGCACAACAGAGTACGGGCATATAATATATACGTATGTGTTTGTCTGTTACATGAAATGCTTACGTATTTTCTATCATAGTATTTTTGGTTAATGAACAATTATCAACTACTATTCGGCAAAAAACTTTTTTTTTGCGTCATATATTTCAATTGGAGTGCCTCACCTTTTTTGCGAAACTAAAATAAAATTAAAACCTTGCATCCACATTTTGCTTTGATGTGATGTTTGCAGATCTAGGGCGCTAATGAATGTGACTGTCATCACATTGTCCTTTTGTCTCCATTCCAGTTTTCGCCATGACTTCCCGTCTTTGTTCAACAAATGTTCACAGCATCAGTGGGTGTTTTTTTTTTTTTAAATCGGCGTGCCGAGAAAAGTGGCACACCAGGAAGAATTTGTAATTGCAAATTTTTGCTATAAATTTCCTCTTTACAAAGAGGGCTTGGAGCATGTCAGCACTGCTTTTCCGCTGAGATTCAAAACGTGTTAATAATTGTGTGCTTGCCCCCGTATGTTCATCGCATCTCGAGTTGACTAGAGGTGTTTTTATGACTTTTTCTGGATGTCGAATATTCATCGTGCGTTAATTGTATTTTCGTTAACACACAGGCTCTCACGATCAGTATTATCCATAAGAGGTGTTTGGGTTAGATCTCGTGAGCATGTCGTTAAATATACGTGTGTTATCGTTTATTTTATAATGAAGTCGCTTAGCCTATACAACAAATAATCCAGTTGCCAAGTAGTATAATCATGAATAAAAAAATGGTACAGCTCTGTCCACTGCTGGATGAAGGGCTCACCACATCGTATCAGTCATGTAGTTTGACCATACTTCACCACGTTAGTCAGTGCGGGTCGGTGAAGAGTTTGTTTGGGGCGAGAGGGGTGCCTGGTCTGATTCGTATTGCTTACCACTGACCAGGAATTGAACTCGGGTTGTTGGGTTCAAAGGCGCAATTAGGAACCACAGACAAGTAGGAAGGCAGGCAGCCACGTGGCGGGCCAGCACCAGTAATTTCTCAAGCTCTGTGGCTCTCTACATATTATGCTGCTCCAGCCCACAGATAGAGGGATGTTTTAAACGACCTGAGTTGGATTCCTGGGCCGCAGAAATCGACGTGAGCCTGACATCTTGCAAATCGGTGGCGAGTGATATCTGAACCAGTCCTCGAACTCTGCTTCGCTATCTTCTACTGACCAGCATGGCGAAGTATGCTCAAACATGCCCACTAGTAAGCAAGCCGACTGGCACCTGGGTAACTATCTCTTGCTCCTAACTAGCTAATCGGCGAATGCCATCCGCCCTCCCGACTGACCACTGCCTCACCGTTTGGTAATCATCAGTCGAACGCAACGGTAATGATTACATTTAAAAACGATGAGAACCTTGTGCTGAATATCACGAGGGATTTCGGCGCGTCCGGGGCGTTGCGTACAGCAATGGGATTCCCCGCTGCGGTCAACAGATGGTGCTGTGCTTTTTCTTAATTGCGTTTCTCGACACGTCGCGGGAAGGCCCCGGCAGTCCCTCGCCCTTTGCATCGGCGATGGTCGACGGAGGCGCCAGGCGAAAGAAAAAACGACAGGCGACAGCCTCGCCGCCGCAAGTAGCTCAAAGGGGCTCACGGATTCGCACGCAAAAATAATAGGTGGGGTGCGGCGGGGGGGAGGGGGGGTTTAAATATCAGCTGAGATACGAATCCACCACATAAACGTAACACATAGCTGTCAAACCCTTGTACAGGGAAATTGAGTTTCCAGCTCCACACGGCGTACAGCCGTTTCAATACGGGCCTTTTTTGTCTATTTGTGTGTGTCTCCCTTGCGATGGTTTTTGTAGGATGAACGTTGAGATTTATAAGGGTCACAAGGTGACCAATAAGGTCTGAATTGGTTTGTAATAAAGTAGGCACTGATAAGGGGTTGACGGGTATGGTAACAAAATGCAAAAATTGACGCGAAAAATGAATTGATCGCTCTTATTTATGCATTCTGTTCATGTAAAATTTGTCTACATCTCTCTCTCTGCGATCTCAGTTCATCGATATCTCTAGCCTGGATCTCAGCAGTCATCTCATTAGGACTTTGTAGACAGAAAGGGAGGTGGCCCAAATAATGCATGCTCAAGCCCCCCCCCTCCCCATGGACTGGCATCAGCACTGTGAGAGATGAATGACCGCGCGTGGAGGTGTTCGGGGAGGTCACAGATCTGAGCGCTGAGTGGCCCAGGCTCAAATTCCTGGGGTCAAATGTGGGGTTTGAGCGGCCCATTTTCAAATGTTAAGTGTAGGGAGTCGATGGTCTCGGGCCGGTCACCAATGACATCACAAGATCATTCCATGCTATCAAATTAGTATTTTATTAACTTGGCGAAAAAAATATCCAGCTCGGAGATAAAAAAAAAAAGATTTAACTGCAATGTGATGAACCTCTTCTTGAGGGCATGTGGGAATGTGAAGGGATCTCAGCAGTAGTTCTGCGATATCTCCTTCCACAGGCCGTTCTCGAAAAACACGTTGTTAGCGCTGCCATGTGAGTGCTCTGAACGGACACTCCTTCCCCCTGTCACGACGTGGCCCGTACAATCGGAATACAATTTTTGTAAAATATAGAAACATAACCAGCCGCAAGAGATGCAGCTCAGCGCTGCAGTGAGTGCGCGTGACATTTTACCAGCTGGGTGACAAGGTTTATGCGTGTGAGGTTGGTACAGCGTGTTCTCTTTCGGCCTGTGTGGGTTTTCTCTCCAGGCACTACTCATTCCTGTCACGTGTGAATGTTCTGCAAGAGGGAACTGTTCAATGAACAACCTTCTTATTCTTGAAAAGGTCTTGATGCTGTGAAACTTTCCTGGGCCCCAAACAATAAGACAGTCTTGATCTCCATCTGCATAATCATCATTATCATCAGGTGATTAATCTATCATCATCATCACTGTCATCGCCATTGCCAATCACAATCTTCAACATGATCGCGATCATGATCATCATCATCACCCAAACACCATCTACGTAGTCTTTATTATCATCAACAGTTGTCACCGCCACAATGTCAACATGAAACTATCTTTGGCCATATTTTAAAGCGCTGGAAACCGCGGGTGTAAAAAAATAACAAATCCGCAATTTTTAGTTGCTGCAGTTTACCTGCACTGAGCTCGGGGTAGGCGATTTAATGCAACGCTGTGCAGGGGTGACGTATGAGAGATGGAGCTCTCTCGTTTGGGAGTGGGTGGGGGGGTAGGGGTGATATGGGCGGTGTCAGGCACATCAATGCAACACTGTGCAAGGTAACGTACGAGGGGTGGAGCTATCTCTTGTTTGGGGAGGAGGTGTGGAGTTGGGGGGGGGGGGAATTGGGGGTGGGGGTTGTGTCAGGCACATCAATGGATTTTCAATTTCCATGCACATTAGTGTGGGGAGCTAATGACCTTAAATGAAATCTGTCGGAGGTGCTCCGTTGCTTTGCAACTTGTGGAGGAGCTACGCCGGTGAATTTCTTTCCAGATTGTGTGGTTTAAATTAACCCTGGACCCGTGAACAATGCGTCTCATTGGCACGCTCAAACTTAAATACAACTCGGCTATTGCACCCTCTGAAGCTTTATTTATATATGTGTGTGTGTGCACTGCCCCTCCTAGTGGGGAGTGGGTGGCGCAGTGGTTAACGCACAGCGCTACAAACCCAGCGACCCCGAGATTTGATTCCCGCCCACGGCCAACGCCAGTGACGATTATCTGAACTGGTCGTGGGCCTCCCCTAGG